ACGAGACTGATTGGGTTGTTTAAGTGGAGTTGGACTACCTTGGCGCGGGCTCGGGACAGGGACGGTGTGATGAAATGTTTGTAAACAGGCCGGTGCCCCATACTCTCTCTACAATTTACCCCCGATCTCGCACCTACCGTGTCTCCCTCCGTCTTATACAATGTCAGCACATGATGTCACTCGATGCGGCTGGGGCCTATGTACACGTAACACACATTTCTCGTTATGCATATTGTACATTTATTATGCATTTATATGTATAGCACCAGTAGAGTAATTTGCCCGCGTTCTTGCTTCTTGCTAATATTTTATTTAAATACACCTATCGAAAGAAAAACGTGAGTGTAATTTTAAAAAATGATGGAAGTTAGGAACCCAAAGCGGTCGCGAAAAAATGAAAACCGAGAGCATTGGTTGGCTGTTTTATATGCACTGATCCACATCCGTGATAGCAAATCACGTTGAAGGAAAAGAGTGAGGAATAAGTCCTTCAGTCAGGCGTTCGTAATGGCCGCGACTGAAAATATACTTGAAGTTGACAACGTCGCTAGCGCAACCTCTATCCCAAAACAAGATTCTAAGGCCAAGCCCCAACCTAAACCGATGATCCCAATCCTAACTCATAACCCTAACCCCCCAGTCCCATAACACTAAGGCGAAGATTAAGGTTAATAGTACTAATAATACTTGAGGGAGGCGTGATGGGGGATTGTTCAAAAGTCAAGGGGATAATTAGACCTATTCAAATGAAGTAAGTAGATCGTGAATAAAATCTAAAAACCTTAATGAGGCCACAGACATGGTCCGTACAGGTAAGATCGTGGCTCGGTGACCAACTGCGTGCACATCAGTCATGCGTGGTTGAATATTCTCTAGGACAGCAAAAATGATTCGGCGGTGATGGCTTCGTTCGATCATTAAATGTCTCGAGTTAATGTGAGGAAGGGATTTAATGAAGTTATCATACCACTTTCTGATATTGCAAAATAAGTCAAAATAGGGCAATTCCAATGACTATTTATGAATAAGATTTATCGATTATTAAGGAGTGCAAACGCCGGGTGGGTTTTACTATAGGGACGGTTTTGGAAACAAGACACTTGAATACTCAAATGGCCGAGCTGAAAGAGTTATTTTTCATCTGCTAATCGTTCTCAGCATCTAAATTACTTAATTTTCTGCCTATCAACATAAAGAACGAGTGAAAGACTTGAACATACGAGTCACAGCAGTCAGGTGCACATCTTCGTAACACTTGCCGTTTGCTTTTTTTAAAGATATTAAGGGCCGGTTTAGAAAAACGCTATTGGGAATTATGCTGCGTGTATGGTGTTGACGACGGTAATTTGGCATCAGTTATCCCATAGAGATGGAGGTCTGCTTTTCCCTAAAAGACGAATTTGTCCTTCATAACGCAGAATCCACCGAGGACAGGTATTTTTCCATATATGAACACCACGGGTTCATATAGACGATAAGAGTCTGGCTAACCGTACAGTTGCGTTACCGCTCGTTCATGAGGGACTAGTAGATGATGCTTGCTAAACGAGAAACGAATTTTATTACGATAGTGGACGGAATTAAAAATTCGTCAAAGACCGGACTGTCTGAATCTTTGACCTAGCTGGAAGTTTTACCGCCAGAAATAAATAAGCAGTAAAACATTGCCTGGCGTTTGCGAGACATTTTAAGTCTGGAAATTACGGTAGAGGGCAATGCGTGCGGAAGCAAGATCTATATGCGCATGCGACTATAAACCTGCAACATTGGCCTCGGACTGGATGTAACGCTTCATAAACATGTCATTCACCGTCTCTGTCTTCTCATCTCTGAGAAAAAAACTTATTTGCGGACTCCAAATTGCAGACGAGTGGACATTTAATTCTGGCCTTTACTCACTCAGCATTCGGGACTTGGTACTCACACATTCACCCCTACCGAAAAAGAAGCTAGATAAAATCGGTCGTAAGAATTGAGAGTGCTTTCGACCTAAAGTGCCTTGCTATAAAATAAAAAACAGGTAACCCTTTGAGAGAACGAAATACACACTATCGGGATCGATTATTGTTGTAAGTTTTGTCCAACCGATAGTGCCTGTGAGTTTTGGTCAGATTTTCGCTCTCAGGAATACGTATTTCGCTCTATTCGTTGAAAGGATTGCAGCAGTATACAATGCCTCGTTGGCTACAAGACAAAAATAATAGTCGAAGTTCCTCTCAGCATCCCTTAAAGTCGTAAGTGTCGATGATAACGGTCTGAACGAAAGCGGACAATATTCAAACTCGTACACACTAGGCGCATGTCTTTCTAAAACTGTGTTGAAAAGAAGTTTAGTCACTGTTGTAAGTTAGCCGCTCCAATTTTTTTCTGACTACAGCACAAGTGGTCGGTAATTGTTTTTGCGATTCTAGGTACTAGGTTCGCGAGTTTTCATGATAAATAAAAAGTAGCTAAGTAATCTGCTGATAGCATTGGGACATTCACCGACTGTGTTGAATGGGAGTTCAACCGTCGGTTCCGACTATGTCCACTGTGTACCTCGCAGTAGAGTGGGCGCGAAACGGTGATTTTCAACGCATTTCTCGCACTCGGTCCTTCCTGAACCACCTGGCTCCGCTGCCATAACAGAGTCAAGAAGATCGCCGGCGATGGTCACGACGGGAACACGCACCTAGGCATGCCACCACATCAGCTCGAATTCCAATGAGCGGGAGTGCATTTGAAGTCGCATTAAAAAGCAGCCATTGCAGCTTGACTCTCAGTCCACCATTCGGCCACTCCATACAAATATACACTGGACGGACTGTGCATTTCGGATTATCCCATCAGGTGATCCCCCTCTACGTCACGGCTTGGGCAGGGAACTCTAGAGGGGTGCTTAGAAGACCAAAATGTACAATAACCGCTTACTTACAAATGTTAAGTAGGGTGAAATCTCCCACAATCTTCCAATTTTTCACCCGCCGGCGTTCATCCCATTGGGGT